CTATACATGTGATTATATCTGTACGCGTGTAAATATTTCTGCATTTATTTGTGTACGCCTGCAGTTTAGTGTAAATGGCCACGCCTTCCTTTTCCAGATCGTGTCTCGTAATTCTTTCGCTTCAACCATTCCCCCACCCACTAATCACAAATTGACATGTATCCTGACGGCAAGATCAATTGAAAACTTGTTTCTTTTTTGCAAGGGAAAAAAAAACGTTTCGAGTTGTCTTGGGAATTCTGCGACAAAAGAAAAAGAAGAAATGAAATTTAATATTTCGTGCTGGGACCAATAATGGATATCTTCGAACAAAACAATTGGAGTCAAAGAAAAGACAAACAGTTACGTTCTACATCCTCGCATCTGACTTTATATGCCATGACAACGTGTATTCATTGGGCGACGTGTTAGAGAATGCGCCTGCAGTTGATATCGTTTGATTCCCTGTTGCATAAAACTACTGAAAAATCTTTTTCATTCATAATATCAATAAACTATTTCAAGTGAGTCATGAGTTGTGGCTGACATAGATTTTCCCCTCCAGAGGTTGGGGTTCAAGTTTAAGTCAGAAAGACAGATTTTCCAAGACTACATTTTTTTTGTTCCTATATTTTACTCACCTAAAAGATTGGCGTGACTCAATCTATTCCAGACATTTTCTCTTATGTCTTAATAAAATACATGCAATTCAAGATTTTGCCTTGACGAAAAATAAAAATTAGTAATCATTTAAAGATTTTAAAGATTTTCTTACTTTGGTGCTACAAGTAAATTTTCTCTCACGTATTTATTATTAAACTAACAGGCATCGCCCGCTGGCTATCGCTTCGTAAAGATATATTCATTACTTGAAACATTTGAACAAAAATTTTAAATGAACATTTCATTCCTAAATTGGCTTAATAGTTAAGGAGAGTTTTACAAATAGATGCCAACTTGTTGAAGTAAAAATGCAAATTTCAATCATTTTCTGCACTATATAAGACGATATTCTTGAACAGAACTATTTTTGATATGAAAATCAAAACAATCCTCGAATAAAAGAACAGTAATGAAGAATAGTTAATTAATGAAATAAACTTTTTTTTAAATCAATATGCAAATTAGTTAAACCTCAAGAGTGATATTGCCTAGAAGTAGAGAATATATAATACAGATATTGACTTTTTTGCGTGTAAATTACTAGAGTTGCGTTTTTAATCTCAGAATTCGTGGAAATTTCGCATTTATTCATATAGATTCCATAATATAGGTTTTACTTAATTAGCTATTATGTTTCTTTAACTCGTCAAATGTTGAATGTATAACTAATTCTAATTTCTATTTTCCCATCTTTACACTATATTAATTTCATCTTATAAATTTTCCCCTGTTCTGTGACCCATGAAATAAAAATACTTATTTGTACATGTTATGGTGCAATATCCTCGCACCACAGGTATGGTCCAAGGTTAGAACCAAGGAAGAACAACACGAACACAAGAGTAGAATACCAAAGATATATTACAACAGAAATATAGTACAAGAAGTTGAAGGTGTTAGTAACGACTGTCCGTCTGGTTTAGAGTGAACTCATATTGTCTCGACCCATTACACCATTCATTTATCATACCTCTTGAGAGGCGCAGTATTTATAATGTCAGGAAGGGTCCATTATCGTTATAGGTAAGTTCCCATAACAGTACTGAAAATAAAGATCTACGTACATCAAATCGTCTTTAAATTAAGTGGCAGCAGAAGAATTATCGTTGAACTTTTAAAAGGTAAGCTTAAACATTAATACAATATTTAAATGCAGCAATCAATTTTGAGTTTTTCTGTAGTTTATTGATGCCTATCACATCTACTCGTCCCTAGCTATTGTAATGATGACCAAAGCAAAAGTCCTCCACATCATGATGGCCAAACCAAGAGTCCTCCATAAGAGCTTTCTTAAATGCCGCCCGATACGCCGATTTTTAAGCTACTTTATAATAAAACGTTCACTGCAATTTTGGATACAAAAGGACAATAAGAGTTACTTCCCTTGAACTATGAAAGCAACGATAATAGCTAGTATAATATATTAATATATATTTTAACCTTGCATAATCGTGAATCTGAGCTCAACGAAAATCGTTCCCTGTGCCTAACCTTTCTCGGGCTTTTGAATGAGCTATGAATCATTGAAATTGGATCAGTGAGAACGGAGAAGCTGCTTGGACACACACAAGCGAAAACACACACACCGTATTTTATATATAAGATGGGATTTTTTTGAATTCCATTTTAAGGTAGAAATTAAAATTATTATTCAAGAGAAATACACGTACATATTTAGACATACGTGACGTTTCGGGCAAACCACAGATAACATTCCGAAATTAAAATAAATTTGCACTGCATAAATAAAACAACTTTCCACATTTTGTGCGGTAGTTATATGAACACTTGGAGTAATAAAAGAAAATAAGGATAAAAGTGAGTGGTCAAATTTTATAGTATCCATTGACTAATTTGGCTTCTGTCCGATAAAAACATTAACTTGTCATTCAAAATGTTTTGTGGTAAAAGCGAGAAAAATTCGGATTGAAAGCTACAATGATATTGAAGATGGCAGACAAATAAATCCCACCAACGCAATATTGTCAATATCGAAATATTTACACTATACCACTATTGATAACATCTTAATAGTGCCATCATCCCATTAATGGCACCATCCCAATATTGGCACCATTCTAATAATATCATCAACGTAATATTTTCACCACCGTAATATTGTCACCAGAATATTGTTACTATCGTAATATTGACATTATCCCATATTGTCAGCATCGCAATAATGTAACCGTCGGAATATTTTCATCATCCCAATATTGACACCATCACAACACTGTCACCATCCCAATATTGTCACCATCCTAATATTGATACAATCAGAAATTATCAGCATCCAAACATTGACACCATTACAAATTCTTACCATTCCACTATTGTCAACATTCCCACCATTCTAATATTGTATCAATATTGTCACTATCAGAATATTGTTACCACCACACTATTGACACCATCCCAATATTTCCATCAACGTCATAATGTCAGCATCGTAATATTGTCAACATCACAACAGTGCCAACATACCGATATTGCTATCACCACAATATTGTTAACACCATAATTTGTCATCACAATATTGAAAATGTCCCGATATTGTTACTATCGCAAAATTTTTAACATCATAATATTATGATCATACAATATTGGTATCATCACAATGTTGTTACCGTCACAATATTGTCAACATCGCAATATTGTTATCATCCCAATGTTGAAACTATGCCAATATTGTACCCATCCCATCGTAATATTGTTAACATCTAAATATTGTCCGAATTGCAATATTGTTATATATTATATTTATCTCTGCAATATTGACACCACTCTCAATATTGTCACCATCGTAATATTACATCATTCCAGTTTTTCACCAACGTAATATTGTCTCCGTCACAACATTGTCACCATCGTAATATTGTCATCATCCAAAAATTTCTCAACGAAATATTGTCACCGTTCTAATTTGAAATCAAGCCAATATTGCTAATAATCCAATATTGTTACTGTAACAATATTGTCAAACTCGCAATATTGTCACGAGCCCAATATTGTTACCATCATAATATTTTTACCATCGCAATATTTTTACCATCGGAATATTGTCAACATCCCAATTGTATTACCATCACAATCTGGTCACTGTCACAATATTGTTACTAGCACAATAATATCAATATCCCAATATTGTCTCCATCCCAATGTTGTTACCGTCACAGTAATGTCTAAAATATTGCCAATTTTATTAAATAAGATTTATATGGGTATGAAAATTAAGTTCTTCGTAATAGATATTAATATTGTAGCCAGAGATCCTAAGGAGCCTCTCACTTGCTACCATTTGCTACCATGGGACTGAGCGGCCCTAATATTCAGTTTTAATACCCCCACTTTTAAAAAAAATGAGTTGTATGATCACAAGGAACCAGTCTTATTAGGAATAACAATATCTATAAAATGTTAAAAATGATAATCTCATCCATTACGACAATATCAGTTATTTAAACAATTAATAATAACAAAATTACAGAATTGTTATAATATTGTCATCAACGCAACACTGCCTCCATCATATTTTCATCAATCCATTGTAATGACTATCGCGATATTGTCAGCCTCGTAATATTGTCACTATGGCAATATTTTCATCATCGTTATATTGTTACGCTCACAATAATATCAGCATCCCAATATTGTCACCATGGCAATATTTTCAACATCGGAATATTGTTAATATACCAGTATTGCCAACATAGCAATATTGTTACCACCACGATATTGTCACCACCACAATATTTTCACCATCGCATATTTGTCACCATCGTAATACTGTCACTATCCTAATATTGACCCCATCCTAATAATATCTCCATCCCAATATTGTCATCATCTCAATGCTGTTACTAGCGCAATATTATCACCTTCACAATATTGTCACTATCGTAATATTATCACCATCCCAATATTATTAGAATCTCAATAATACCCCCATGGCTATATTTTCCCCATCACAATCTTGTAACTATCTCAAGATTGTCACCATCTTAATATTGTCACTGTCCCAATATTGTCACTCTCCTAATATTGTTACTATGGCAATATTTTCACTATCACAATCTTGTCACAATCCCAATTTTGTACCATACTAATATTATCATTATCGCAATATTGTCAACGTTTCATTTTCTAAATTTTTGACCATTTGCTCAACAAGGTGAATGTTGCATTAAAAACCCTGAAAATCCACGGATAAGGAATACAGCGGAAGAGAGTCGCTGAATTTACTGATTAAAATCTGAATTCATTGTCGAATATAAATGAGAAATTAAAGCCAAAATTTAGTAATTTCTATAGTGCAATGATACGCCGCCTCCCCTTGCAGACTAATTTTGTGGTGCAAC